CTATGCATCTATTTTTGAATGAATTTAGTTTCTCTTAAATCCAAAATCAATGTAGAAAGCTATGGCTAGAACAATACAGAAAGATCAAATCTCGAAAAATTTTAGATTCATAATTTTATTCCAAAATGATAGAAATATCATGTATGGAGCCAAAATCTTCCAAAGTTTTTAGAATTAAGATGAAATCAAATATCAAGATTTCTGTGGGAAGGGGTTTGAACACTTGCCTTAGAAAAATTGACTATCAAATGTGGGGAATTGATGTAAAACCTCAAGCAATGTAAAGCTTCTTCTTCTACTACTTCAATTCCTCTTCCCTTTTCTTCTCAAACCCATGCTGGTTGCAGCAAATATCCCTCCTTTATTATGTTTTCCTTTAATCTCTCATCTAATTACTTAGGTTTGATTAACACAAGGATTGTAAGACGGCAAGTATGTATGAAAGAGGCTTATGTATCATCCATAAAACAAACATAGATGGCACCATACTTAGGTTAGCTAGTAACACATGTCCTCTATTTTTTTTTTAACTTAATGTGAATCTTTGATAAATCATATTAATTTTCTAAGATTCACATTTAGGTCCCTAGCCATAAACTTTTAAAATAAAATTATTTAATATAAAAATATTAAATAATCCTTATATTTACAAACAAGTATTTATAAAATTTTCATAAATGAGGGATGTTACAAACAGAAGATTGAGAAATTTGTTTAGAAACTATATTGGCAAGAACATTAAGCAATGCGATCTCATTCTTCCATAAATTTAGTTTGCCTATAATCGTTCCATGCATCACAGTCTAAAAGACCAGTATGATTAGCACTATTGGACTTAATCTCTTATTCTACAATTAAGCAATTTAGTGGAAATGCTGATGAGAGGGCTAAGTAGATAAAGAAGTTGCATAAGAGTGTTAAAGTAACCATTGAGAAGCAAAATGAGAGATACATACAAGCTGCCAACAAATACAAAAAACACATGGAGTTTAATATAGGTGATTTAGTTTGGATTCATCTAAGGTATGAGAGATTTCCACCAAGCAAATTTAAGAATTGAAACCAAAGGCTGATGGTCCATTCAAGGTGCTTAAGAGAATTGATAAAATTGCTTATGAGATCGAGCTACTTGAAGATTATGGAGTGTCTCCAACATTCAATCTGGTTGATTTAAGTGCTTATCATAATCATGTTGATGGAACAAATGATGACTTAAGGACAAGTCTTTTTCAACCAAGGGAGATTAAACCGAGAGTGTCTAATTTGCTACAATCAATTCGTGCGGATCTTGCTGATCCTATGGTATTCTCTACAGCCCATAATATTATCTCATAGCCTTTAATCCAGCCCACTCAAATATGACAACTCATGAGTATATTCATTAGATAAAGTTAAAGCTATTTCAAGGTGTTTTTCTTCATAACCAAAGAATGTATTAAAGTGGTTAGTTACCAAATGTAAGACACTTAATTTCATAATTCTAGCATAAAAAATTATTTCATACGCTAGTACTTATTTTGGTGTTTTAGAGTTAGAAAGAAGTATAGAAACTAATGACATTGATAAAAACTCTCTTGGAGTTCTTTCTTAAACTCTATATCTTTTTGATGCTTTCTTGAGTAGTGAGTCTTTTTTTTTCAATTATGTATCTTTGTTTACTATTCTTGAGATTGAAAATTTTTTATATCTTTTTATAATTTTAAATTCGATTATGAGCTATTTATCAATTTTATTAAAGTTTTACAGTGAGTTTATTCTTTTTCAATAGGAAGAATTTATTCCAACAATTTTAAAACTTATTCCATTTCCTCACGTTGAGCTTAGAAGAAGATATCGAGTAAACGAGGTAAAAATAATAATAATAATAATAATAATAATAATAATAAATTAATTAAATAAATAACAAGTTCATCTTCATCTATATTTTCAAGTAAATCTATCAAAATGATAGTGAAAACAATAACGGTTGCTGTTATTGAAAGAAGAGACGCTTAAATCAACTCAAAAACAGGTCGTTTTATAAAGCTACTAACCATGAGTGCAGTAGGAATTGAATGAGTAGAAGCACTGCAGGTCGTGACTGATAGGACTTGTGATAAGTATAAAAAATATGAATGAACTTCCAAGGAGAGAAAAAGTCATTAGAGGGCATTAAATTTGAATGAACTAGTGTTGCCGAGCATTAAATTTGCTTTAAGCAGGTAAAGAGATTCCCAATCAGTAAAAAGACAAACGACGACCACTAATCACTTTCAGAAACCAAAGCCAGAGAAACACAATGAGCAGAACAGCACCTGTACTTGGATACGTCCATGAAACTGAAGTTCAAAGCGGTCCAAAGGAATTTAGAATAACCCTCTTGTGGAAACCCATAGGCCACAAGAAATATTGTGGATTGCATATTAAAAAACCTAGATATATACAAAATTGTGTACAAACATTTTGATAGATTATGGCATTATGCATGCCAAGGACCAGGAAAGAAAGTAATACTTTATTGATGTATGTACTGGAAAAAGAATCATCACAGGAGAATTTGAACTTCCAAAGCAAGAGAAACAACTACATAGACCTTAAATATAAATTAAGACATACAGTACCAATGTTACATTTTCCAGGTTGATCAAAATTAGATTATTTCTTCATCCAGAATCATAGAATGACACAAGACAACCAAATATTGCACCATATCAGTCAGCTATCGTTTTTTTTTTGTTTCTGGAACAACATAACTATAAGAAATTAACTGCATCATCAAGTGGATCAGAAAAATATAAAGATGACTGGTCATAGGTTATCTTTTAAAAACACTCATGATAATCTCACTCCAAATACTTCGTTGAAGATGAGCTATCATTACCTTTCCTTGAAGTGATGCTTCTTGTATTTCCAGCTTCTCAAGAGTGCCCTACTTCAGGAACCAGATAATTTTTATTTCTCCACTCAAGTACCACTAAATTTCTCCACTCCAATGTCATTTTTAATTGTGGCCATTGGCCAAAACAGGCAATAAAAAATAATTGGATGATGTTCCATAAGTTAAATATCAGACTACAATAGTCAGATAAGGTTGCACATTAAGTGACTGGAAGTATAGCACCAGACGCTATCATGTTAAGGGCATATCATTGCACTTGTTAGTGGGCACAGTGATTGTGTCGATCAGAATGAACTCAATGCTAATGCATGCCAACTCAGATGTCATGCTGGCACATTATCAACACATATTATGCTGACAAAATTGAATCTCTTGAATAAAAATGTATTTCACTATAACGTGGTCTACTAACAAAGCAAATATAATCCACCAGGTTGACGGCTCAATGTACATGATTTATCCCTAGCAACAAATAGAGGCTATTTTCATAGCTAGAATCCTGGTCACCCAAATTAGAAAGGCACAACCTAACCATTATACTAAGGCTCACCCTAATCAAATATAAATTAAGTAATAAAAGATTAAAATGTTTTATAACCATTATACCACTATGCCATTACCTCCAACTTTCAAATACAAACAAGTTTTCCTAAATGTCAAGAAGACGTAAAATGAGCTAATATGAGTGCACATGCGGATGAAAGGATTGGATACAGGCACACAAAGCAAAAATATCCTAACAAAATTGATAATCCTAAAGTATCAGAGATACTTGATAGATATTTTGTATTCATAAATAAACAAAACAAATGAACTGGACAAAAATCTTTTCTACTTCAGTCTCTACAAAAAACATATCAAGTGATAGATCTCCATTTCAGGAGCCCAAATCCATGAAAATTTACAGACCTGAGATAAATATTCTGTAAAATAATTTGAAGATATTTCACCAATAATTATTATTTGCTAGACATGCAAGCATATATTTTTTGTAATAAAATAATCTTTCTTACGATAAACCAATAAATTCTAGGTTTTAGGATATGCTAAGTCAAAAATTTTATAGTGGCTTCAGAATTTGACTATCTTATCTACCTCTGAACCATAAGCTATAGAAATTTAAGAGCACAAAAAAATGTGGGTAAGAAAATTTATACGAAATGGCTAAGCACATGAAACTTATGCATCAGAATACTATTATATAGAAATGTCAATATACACCCCGAAAACATAGTACTTTTTGGAGAATTTGAACTCTGAGGCTTGCAAGGTCCAATAACATGCCAATAAGAACAATATCCCAAAGAGAACTTACTGTAACCAGATAAAGATGCCCACGTATGGAAAAAAAAAAAAAAAAATTAAAGGTAGCAAATCATTCTGGTTTTCACTTAAATATACAAGATGGATCCTATCCACTTAAGCTAGGTTCTTCTATTGAAAGCAGTGGCCTACTACAGTTTCTTGCTTTAACCAGCGTCTTGTATTATTCATATGAAGACCAGTAGTATTTGTGAGCCAATTCAAAGCTTGATGCTATGTCAATATCTAGATGTCAGGATCATGAAGCAAAAAGTTCACAAACTTAGTCTAGTCAGTGCAATGGCAATTCCAGGAACGGCCTGTGGGTCTTAAATCAGCAGATAATGTCACACAAGAAGAGAAATATCTGAATACATACAAAAGAGAGCTCTTGCTCTATTAAAATTTCCATGCTAGAGATTTTTTTCACATGCAGTTTAATGACCTGCTGCATAATTTCTTTAGGGAAACTATGTTAACTGATGTGCTTGATTAGTGAAAAGAGCTTCTGACAATAAACTTCAACAGTCTCCTGGATCCAAATAGATCATATATCATCCTTTTTTCCTTTACAATTCCAACAATATGTTTTATCAGTGGCCAATGTTATACATGTCATAGAAGCTTAATTCTCATACTATTTTTTGTTACTGTGAAAGATTGACATTCTCATATAGAACTCTCCACAGATGGTCAAAAGAAATATAACACAAAATATGTGCAGAGGTATGGCAGCTAACAAATTCAAAGTGTACATCAGTGTGAATTAGCTAAATTGGATATAATACTATGAATGGAGCATTTCATAGGAAGAAAGTCGTCAAGTAAGCAATCACCAACATTTACAACAGGAATACATGTTTGAAGGGAATAAAAAGGTCACTTCACCTTATCAGTGATGACTGAAACACTCAAATAATTCAGTTTCTGAAAACTATTTGGACCAATCGATGCCACAAAGAAACCACCAGACTAAGAAAAGGATCTGCTTGCATATCACTATAAATATAACTTGGCCCCTAATGAGTAATCAAATATACTATTCACTTTGCATAGCATACACTCTTCTTCTAATATCAGTTATTAACATACTTGCACTCTCGACAGCTATCTCATTTGAGCTCCTTAAATTACTGAACTCCTTTGAATCTTTATATGATTTCAAAGCATCAGACATCATTTCAGCCTTCCTTAAGATAGACTTCTGCTGCTCAACAGTCTGATCATATTCCCTTTCTCTATAAGTATCTGGCAACTTTGTAGAATGCAGCACTGTGTTCATCAGATTCGAAACTTTCCTCTCCAGTTCTAGCATCCCCAAGCTATTTAGTTCTTTCACAAGCATTTGATACGTGACGTACTGGGGCACAATCCCTCTCTTGATCATGCTCTCAAACTCCACAGAGGCCTCCTCAAACCTGTGCGTTCGACAAAGCAAATGCACCAACATAGTGCAAGTATCTAAGTCCAGATCAAAACCGTTCCTGTTCATCTCCCTGATCAGTTGCACGGCCAAATCCAACTTCTCTTTCTCGCATAACATTTTGATCAGTAGCTGGTACGTGAGTCGATCAGGGAAATATCCCAAATGAATCATCTTGGTGTAGAGATTCATTGCTTCTTCAATCTTTCCAAACTTGGAGAAAAACCTGAAGAAATAATTATAGGTGCTCGGCGTGGGAAGAATGCTCCTTCCCACCATCATCTTCAGAACCCTACTTGCGCCCACGAGGTCCCCGTTCTTGCAGAGGCCTTTCACGAGAGAGTTGAAGGTGGAGATATTGGGAGACACACCATAAAGAGGGAACTTTTCCAGCATGCCAAGGGCCTCCTTGAACCTACCACCCTCCGAGAGCGCGTCGACTATGGGATTACAGGTGAGAGCGTTGGCCTCGATCCCAGCAGCCTTCATCTCTTCCAGCAGGTTGACCGCCTGATCGGGGCGACGCATCCGGCAGAGGCCCTCGATGAGAGTTCCATAAGTGACGACGGTGGGGCGCACACCCTCACGCTTCATCCGGTTCCATGTGAGCTCGGCCTCGCGGAGCCTCCGAGATCGAAACCAGCCGTGAAGGAGCATGTTGTAGACCCGGATGGAAGGAGCAGCGGCCTCCTTTCTTGTGCGGTCGACAAACTCCGCGGCTGCTCTAGGGTGACCTTCTTTGCAAAGGGCGTCGATGACGAGCTCAAAGGGTTCCCCGTTTTCCTCCTCCGGGGTGATGGCTTCTGGATGGCGGCGGATGTATTGGAAGGTGCGGATGGCTGCAGAGGGCATTCCGGCGCGTGCGTAGCGGCGGAAGAGCGCAGCAAAGGCCGAGAGGGGGGCGGGGGCGACGTCGAGGAGGAGAGACCAGGCGGAGTCGAAAGCGCGGGACTTGGCGAGGAGGTCCACGAGGGAGACGAGGAGGGAAGGGGTGAGGTGGAGGCGGGCCCAACGGGAGAGGACGACGAGGGCGGCCGAAGGAAGGTCGCCGTCGCGGAGGAGGGCGGCGATAATGGGGGCGGAGGGGGAGATGCCGCAGCGAAGGAGGGCGGAGTCCAGGTGGTAGGTATTGGTTGCAGTCCGGAGGAGGTGGGCGATGGCAGTGGCGGTAGCGGCGATATCATCTTCGCATTCTTCTTGTCCGAAGGAGGCCCACGACGGAGGTGGATTTGGCGATTGGCAAGGAAAATTTAACGCCGCAGGCCCGGGTTTGAGGTCTGGCGGAGAAGGCCAGCGCATGCGAGGATTGCCCGGGATGGAGAGCCACGAGGAGGAGGGAGAACCAGAGGCGGCCGAAAGGGAGCGGAGGAGAATGCTCCGGCTGTTAGTTGTGGCGGTGGTGGCGATGATGGCTCGCCGGAGCAGGCAGGGAAACATACTTGGATCGTGTTGATTTTGCCGAATACCACCCACTGGGACCAGCAAAGCGCTTCCCCCTCCCAGGTTGGGTTTTACTAAGCGTACCGGGTGGAGAAATGCAGCATGTTCTGATCCTAAGGGGCCGCGACGGAGGCGGCGGAGCTGCGTCAACAAATGCGCCTCGACATTACGCCCTCGCCCTCGCCCTCGCCCTCAGTCGGTCCATTTTGCAGGCATTACTCGTATATTGTTCGACCAAGAAATTAATGTTCAACTCCTTCAAGTTTGCGGTCGAACCACATCTAATTTGGATCTGCATTGGTCTGTTCGTTGGGTCAATCCAATTGCGAACCAGATACATGACGAATCGAATTCCTATCTCTACTCCCTTCATATTCTAACAATTGCAACAAAACATGACGCATGGAATTGTTCGGCAACAGCTGAGCCAGATTTAATTGTGGTCGTGGTCAATCAGGATCCAACGCCACACTATAGTTTCGCAACCCATGCATCCTCAATTTGAAAATTTTCTCATTTTAGCTAAATCCAAATTTAAGTTGACCCAACTTGTAATTGTTCAATTAAGTTTTACAAAACTAGAGAATACATTACAATTGCAAGGTATAGAAATAATATTTGAATAGTTTAAGTTCTATACTGTCAAACAGAGTTATGTTGAGTTAAACTTGATAAGATATATTTTGGGTTCTGGCCACGTCACGATCGACGCGCGCGCCACGTCTTTGCTAGGTCAGCAAGAGGAGAATTCTCACGCGTCGAGCCGGGATCCGTACCGAGGCATTCCTCGGTACGTCCAATCCCGGAAAGCTCAGGACGACGTCGTATGGTGTCGTTCCGCGTGTTCCGGGACGACGAATGCATAAAGGTACCTCCTCACCCCTCGAGGATCGGTCACCACACCAAACCCGCGTATGACCAACCTCATACAGTAGTATAAAAACCCATGATCGACACCTGACCATAGAGAGGCATGAAAAAATCGAGAACCAAGCACTAACTTACTCATCGAGGGGCCAAAGTCAATAACCACCCGATGAGGGCCTTATGTGTAGGAGAGTGGTCACCCATTGAGGCGCGACCATCCAGATCAAGAGGAGTCTTCCCCTAGGCCGCTTTGACTGTTGAATCTCAGATTTTGATGATGAAGTCAATTATCATTTGGTTATCTAATCCATATGTTGAGATAAGTGTGTAGGATTAACTACGATGGCAATAAGACATGCAGCAGGTGTTGAGCGGGAGTCAAGACCAAGATCACGTTGGGGGTTCGAGAGTTTGTCGAAAGTTCGGACGGTCGTTGAAGGTTCTACAGGAACAATCCGAGAAGTCCAGAAGCTTGCCAAAGAAGCTCATTGGAACTCGCCAAGAGGATCGTCGCAAGTCCAAGAGTTTGCCGGAAGTCCACTAGAGCATCGCCGAGGGTTCGTCGGATGTTCGTTGGAAGTTCACCGGAAGCTCGTCGGAAGAAGCGATTGATGCATCGGAACACGATTTGCAGCATTAATATCTTAAGTGTCGTAGTTAGCAGGTAGATTAAGTTAGAATTGGGAGTTGATCCTATTAACTTAATCTGGGGCCAACCGGACTCTAATTAGACCCAAATTGGGCCGAATGGATCAGCCTATTCAGACCTAGAATTCCTGGCCGGCGATGGCACCACCCAGGAGACTTGGTCTCCTAGGAGTTCTGGACGGTGGTACCGCCCTTGTCAGGCGGTGGTACCGCCCCAATCAAGTAGTGGTATCACCAGAGCTCGGTCTCCGAGCTCTACCAGGAGGTGGTATCGCCCAGATTGAGCGGTAGTACCGCCCAGTGTCAGATGCCAGGCGGTAGTATTGCCTAGTTATGACAGTGGTACCGCCAGGACACCGAAAATCTGGGAGATGATACTTTTGAGTTCAAATTCAAACCAATTGGGGCCTATATACACCTTACCCTTTCCTGTATAAAAGGGCACCGAAATCTTGCATTTATTCTTAAAATTTGAGAGCTTAAAAGTATTGTAAAAGGCTAGAAGTTCTTCTCCCTCTTTCTTTCTAAGTTTTGATCATTCAAGAGAGAAGTGGAAATCTATAAGGGTTGTCTCCTAAGCCCGTCAAAAGGAGTAAAGCTATAAAAGGGTGGTTGGCCTTCGCCTATTGAAGGAACTCTTGTGGACGTTGGTGACCACATCGGAGGAGGAAGACAAAATTGGATGTAGGTCAAGATTGACCAAACCACTCTAAATCTCGGTTTGCATTTACATTCTGCTCTCTATCTTAACTGCAAACTACCTCTGTTGCTTTACGTCAACTATACTTCCATTTACTCTTAAGCTGAAGAACTTTTCGAAACGGTTTTCATTGAAAACGATTTCATCGTACGAACGTCGTTTTAATCGACGAAAGTTTTTTGCTGTACTAATTCACCCCCACCCCCCCCCCCCCCTCCCTTTTGATCATAACAATTGGTATCAGAGCGGGGTTAACTCTCAATCGAATTAAAACCCAAAAAATATGGTATACGCCGGAAACTAAGAGGGCCACTCTATTGCATGTCCGCCCATGTTCAATGGGACGAACTACACCTATTGGAAGACCCGAATGAGGATTTTCCTTATTTCCATGGATTTTAAACTTTGGAATATTGTTGAAAATAGATTTTCGAAGTCTTCTCTTTCAATGATCAATTGGAATGAATTGGAGAAGAAGACTTTCGCTCTTAATGCAAGGGCTATGAATGCCTTATTTTGTGCATTTGATAAAAACGAGTTCAATCGTATTTCGATTTGTGAAACTGCATTTGATATTTGGCATATACTCGAAATGACTCACAAAGGCACAAGTAGAGTGAAAGAGTCAAAAATTAATCTTTTAGTACATTCTTATGAACTTTTTCGAATGAAACCGAGCGAGACCATAGGTGACATGTTCACCTGTTTCACGGATGTCATCAATGGTCTAAAAGGACTTGGTAAAAGTTTTTCAGATTTTGAGCTTGCTAATAAAATTCTAAGATCCCTTCCAAAGAGTTGGGACCCTAAAGTCACTACTATTCAAGAGGCTAAAGATTTACACAATTTCCCTATTAAAGAATTAATTTGGTCATTAATGATCTACGAAATGACTTGCAAAGCTCATGAAGAGCAAGAAGACATCCTTCCAAAGAACAGGAAGGATATGACACTTAGAACTCTAGAAGACCACTTGAGAGAAAACTCATGTGATGAGGACTTTAACAATGACTTGACACTTCTAACAAGGAAATTAAAAAAAATTCATTAAAATAAATAAATTTAAAAATGACACTAAAAATAAATTTGAACCCAAAAAGGACCAAGTTATTTGCTACGAATGTAAGAAGTCGGGACACTACAAAAGTGATTGTCCCCAAGCCAAGAAGAGAACACCAAAGAAGAAGGCGCTCAAAGCAATGTGGGATGACTCAAGCACGTCCGAAGAAGAGGAGTCCAACACCGAGCAAGTTACTCACTACGCCCTAATGGCCATCGGAGAGGAGGTAACAAATTTAATTGATATAGATTTATCATTTAATAAATTATTAAATACTTTCCATGACTTATTTAATGAATGTAAAATAATTAATAAAAAATATAAATTATTAAAAAAGGAGCATGATAGTCTTATCAATAATTTTGATAAATTTAAAGCTGAACATAATGATAGTTTAGCTCTATGTATGAAATGTCATGATCTAAAAACTCTCTAAAAGGAGAACTTGCTACTTAAAGACACCTTGAAGAAATTCGAGGTTGGTAGCAGGTCTTTGAATATGATCCTTACAAATAAGGGTCACGTTCCTAAACGAAGTGGAATTGGATTTATGAGAAGTCCTCACCAAAATCCAACCACTTCCATTAAAGGTCCTATCTTGCATAATTCGGACCAAAACAAGTGTAACTTTTGTTGCAAATATGGACATAGAACTTATTATTATCCATTCAAGAAAATAAGTCCAAACAAATTGATTTGGGTTCCTAAAGGAACCATGATACATTCCATGCAACATGACAAACAATTTAGATCAGTTTTTGAGGCACCCAAGATTAAATGGGTACCTAAAAATCATCCTTTCTTATATAAACATATACCATCACAAGCTAAGAGCAAGAGATGGTACCTTGATAGTGGATTCTCAAGGCATATGACCAGAGATCCATCTCAATTCTCTAAGCTCACTGGCATAGA